AAAGTTTGGCACCAACAATAATTCCAACTAAAGAATATGTCAAAAACAGTGTCTGATTATGTCTTTAGAACATTTAAAGATAAAATATTTTAACTCTCCATCTTGGTAAGAATATTTGAAACTTTAGCTTAAAAAAAGAAAGTACCCTGTCTTCAGATATGTTGATACAGACTGGGAAAAATGATATAGCTAAAGTTACAGGAATTATATTTTGGCACATAAATTTGCTTCATTTTTTGGGTCACCAGAAAAGTCATGACATGCTTTTCTATGCAAAAATGTGTCATGACTTTTCTGACAACTCAATACTACACACTCTGCTTTCTCTTAGAGGTATTTGTATACGTTTTATGTTTTCAACTAGATGATAAATGAATTGCAAGGAAAAAAACAGCCTATTTCATCATTTTATTATCCATCATGCCTAGTGCAGCACTTTATACATAGTAGGTTCTCAATAAATATTGGTGGAATGTGGAATTATTGAATAATCATGTAAAAAATTACTTAAAATTAACAGTAAAAAAAGAGGCTATTTTATTCTTAATCATATTGTAATGAAGACTATTTTAAACTCTATGCAGTGATGATACACACAAATATTTAAACTATTTATGTGCCTCAACTTGACATAATTTCATGATAACTTGATGGCAATCACATTTAAATATATTAGAATATTTTTGTAATAATGCTATTCTAGAATAGCAACTTAATAGCTGGGAAAACATGTTAATGGCCATTAATCTGAAGGAAACAGAGAACATTAAACATTTTTTTTTTCAGAAATAAATGTATAAGTTTAAACATCCCACTATAATATTTATGAGCAACCTCAAATGATAACTCATAACACGCAAACTATTAAATATTTCAACTGAAGAATAATTTTAAATATATTTTGTCATTTTTTTCCTGTATACACACGGATGAGTACTATATAAAAAACATCCTTTTCTCCTTTAGTGTCTTTTGACTATTACTATCTAAATAACACATGAACTCTGCTTGAACAAAAGGCCAAGACAATCCTATGGAAGTCCTTGATTATCAATCAATATGATCTTGGTCAATAAACACAAGTTAAGTGATTTTTCTTACCTTTAGGACAGCTATAAATGGTACAAAATTAGCTCTTTGTAGTCCATTTTTATAAAGATCTGAAAGAAAAAACTGGTATTAGCTTTTAACTTAGCCTTAATTATAATATTAGTTTACCTTCTAGCCTGCCAAATAATGCTTTCACTGATTAAAAAAAAAAAAAAAGAAGAGCAAAAGAAAAAAATTGATTTCTATTCAGGTACTATAAAAATTCATTATTATTTTAACAAGAGAAAAAATTAATAGTCACAGAAATAGAAAAAAGGAATTCAATCAGATTAGCTTTATCCTAAGAAGCAATAAGAGAATTTGAAGAATATTAGTTCCAAAATCCTAAATCTATAACCCAAGATAATATACTTAAAAGTACTTGATACTTGAATATAGAATTCTACTGGGGAAAGAATCATACTCTCTCTTTCTCAGTTTATAATAAAAGTTCTCAATAACAAATTAAAAGTTGTAGAGCCAGCAGGTGGCATAGTGATTAAGGCACTGAACTCCCACACAGTTGACCGTGGTTTGAGTCCTGGACCTCGCATCTTGAAAGTTATGCTAGGCACATGCCCAAGATCTCAGGAGGAGACTGGATGAGAAGGAATTATGCTAAGGCCATCCTCTCTGTGGGGTGATTTCTCATTTTCCCTGTCACACTGTCTCTATCTCTTGTTCTCTCTCTCTTCCACCTTCCCACCCCATAAGCACACATGCCATATGGCAAAAAAAAAAAAAAAAAAAAAAGAAAAAAAAGTTGTATGGGCTGGCCCCATAGCCAAGTGGTTAAGGGAGGTACATGCCACAAGGGCAACTATGGTTCAAATCCTGGCCCTGGTGGCTTGAAAAACACACCTGGCACATGTGTATGCATGCCCCAAATCCCAATGGAATGGAAAAACTGAAGGAGAAAGGATTGTGGTGAGACCATGACCCATGCAGGAGGTGGTGCTTTCACCCCCCTCTCTCTATGTCTGGCAAGCATGTGTGCCCCTCTGGTAATAAGATGAAAGTAAAAATTGTGTAATAAGATTAGCCATTTTAGAAACGTATTAATAGGGTTGCTTCCATGGCCTGTGGTTGAGGCAGCCATCCTACATGGTTGACTGTGCAGTTCGAGTCTGAGTCTCAGCAGATAGAGAAACACAAGGCACACGTGCATGCATGCCCAAAATCCCTAAGGGAGAAGGATGCAGCAGAAGGTGGGAGCATTCTCCTCTCCCCCTTTCTCCTCTCTCTATCTCTCTCTGGCAAGCCCACAAGACTGCAATCAAAAAAAAAAAAAAGAACATGTTAATAGACAGAACTGCTCTTGTACTTGTCATATCTGATGTCAAGGTAAAGAAATGCCAGCTTAAGAGGGGCAGCTTCATGGTATAGTAGTAATGGGCTGCTCAAGAGAAGCCACATCCCACATGGTGACCACTACTCAAATTCCTGGTCTGGTCAGCTGAAACACACTGGTATGCATGTGAGTACCCAATATCCAATGGGCTGGTGGGCTGGTGGGCTGGTGGGCTGGAGGAAGGGTCACATGGTATGACCACACCCTATGGATGGTGCTCATCTATCTCTTTGCTCTCTCCCTCTGTTTCTCCCCCTCATGTGTACACACACATGCTGTATCATGAATCAAAAATAAATAAAAGAAACAGCGCTCTGAAAAAAAATTGCCTAAATATTAAAACTTGATTCTTAGGACCAGCAGATGGCATGGTTATGCTGCTAGACTCTCACATAGTCGACCATGGGTCAAGTCCTGGACCCAGTGGCTTTAAACTCACACAGGGCATGTGTGCATGTGTGCAGAAAATCCTAAGAGGAGAATGGAGGAGGAAGTATTGAGGCATGGCAATCCTCCCCTTTGGGGTGATTTCTTGCTTTCTGTCTCTCTGTCTCTCTCTATCTCTCTGGCAAGCACAAGTACCCTCTTGGAAAAATCTCTTTCTAAAAAAAAACTCAATTCTTAATAAACTGCAAATGTAACACAATTATTTCATAAAGAAGTATTATTTATTGTCTCATAAGGTTGTTTGTAATACATGTATAAATCTCAGTTAAATGTATGCTCATATACACATGCATGACACATCAATTGTCAAGAATAAACATGTGGAAAGAAGCAACAAATTTAAAGCTTTGATATTTTTCTTTAAAAATGAAGACTTTGAAAATTTTTTCAAGAGGATAAAATTCTATTGCATATGAAGTTGTGAGTCTTTTTATTATAAAAAGAGAACAGTAAAAACATTGTTAATTTTTAAAAAACACAAATTAGATTATGTGTCTCAATTTTTTTTTAAGTATGGCATTATGGGATCTTTTCTATATTTCCTTGTTTAAAGAAAATTTGATAACCACTGTAGACTTTGACTGCCACATTTACTCATGAAAATAAAATATGGTCATTAGGAAACATTTATTCTCTTTAGAAATACATTCATCATAACATCATTATAGTGAAGAAAGAATTTGCATAAGCTCTTTGGATAATTAGGGACTAGAGGCTTCAATTCAGTTACATTTAAAATTTTTACTTAGGGATATCATAAAAGGTAAGATAATGCTAGCCAGTCTGTTAGAACTTCAAAATTCAAAACGAGATTTTTTTCTTTCCTATAATCAATACCTCGAATGTGTACAATGAGCAAAATGCAGGAAATGAACTTAAAATTAATTATTTTCATAGTCTACCCTAATTACCAAGTTGCTGGGAAGTTGTGTAAAAACAATGTTGTATGATGCACATTAACAGCCATGACTTCCAGTATGTGGTGAAAATTGAAAATAAGATACTTTTTACACATACCCAATGTTTATAGCAGCTTTAGTCATAATAACTAAAAATCTCAACTTTATTTGTAATAACCAAGAATTAGAAGCAATGCAATGTCCATCATTAGGTAAATGGATCAACAAATTGTGGTGTATCTGCACAACTAAATTCTATTCAACAATTAAAAGGAAAAACTGGCACAACCACAGTAGCACAAACAGGATGAGGCCACCAGTGACTGAGGCCACACAGGAGGTCCAGATTAATTTCCTGGCTCAACCTAAACAGTTCCAGTGTGGTGGTGCCTGCCTGTAGAACTAGCTACCAGGCGGCTGGTGCAGGAGGATGGTGGATCGTAGTGAGACTGTCAAAAACATCTTTCTTTCTCTCTATTGTTCTCTCTCTCCCTCCTGTAATCTCTCTCTCCCTCATTAAAAAAAGGAATAAACTATTTATACATACAATAAAATAAATGAACCACAAAATAACTACGCAGTGTAAAAGAAGCCATATCCCCCCCCAAAAAATGAGTACATACTGTGTGATTCCACTTAATATAAAACACTAGAAAAAGCAAACTAATCTAAAGTTACATAGTAAATCAGTGGTTGCCTAGAGAAGGGGAGACAAAGTCAGCAGAAAGATATGAAAAAGGGCATGAGGAAACTTTTGGGGTGATGGAATTGTTCATTTTATCACACACACACATATATATATATATATTTTGTAAATTGTATCCTTTCATTTTGTGCTATATCATGTCATTTATACTTCAAAAAGCTTTTTTTAAAAATGTATTTTAGAGGGACCAGCAGGTGGCATGGTGGTTAAGGCGCTGGACACTCCCACATGGCTGACTACGGTTCAAGTCCTGGACCTGGCAGCTTACTTTCTCACTTTCTCTCTCTCTCTCTCTGTTTCTCTCTGGTCAAATTAAAATAAATGAATGAATAAATATAATAACTTTAAAAAATGTATTTTAGGGACCAGAAGTTGGCGTAAAGGTTGTCACAGGACTCCCATGTGGTTGACCATGGTTCGAGTCCCAGACCTGGTGGCTTAAACTCACACCAGGCGTATGTGCATGGGTGCCCGAGATCCTGAGAGGAGAATGGAGACGGGATTGCGGCGTGGCCATCTCCCCTGGAGGGTGATTTCTCGCTTTCTGTCTCTCTGTCTCTCTCTGTCTTTCTGGCGAGCATATGCGCCCTAGAGCAAAAACTTCTCCCCCCCTTAAAAAAAAATGTATTTTAAAGGACCAGCAGATGGTGTAATGGTTACGTCGTTGGACTCCCACATGTTCAAGTTCAAGTACCAGACCTGATGGCATCAAACTCACACTGGGCTCATATACATGCATGCCCAAAATCCCAAGAGGAGAATGGAGGGGAAGGGATTGCAGTGTGGCCATCCCCCCCCGGGGGGTTATTTCTCACTTTCTGTCTCCCAGTCTCTCTCTTTCTCTCCAGCGAGCACAAGCACCCTATAACAAAATCCTCTCTTAAAAAAAAAAGTATTTTAAAAATCATAGATAACATTAGTGGATATCAAAGACATAATGTTATAGAATTAAAACTAAGACATTATGCTAATGAAACTTTATTTATGTAAGGTAACCATTTGGTCTTACAGAAGTCCTTCCTTTTTATTTTCTTCCTTTTTTTTTTAACAAACCCGTAAGGCCCTAAGATGTAGCTTAACAAGTATGTACCTTTTAATATGTTAATGACAATGAGAGATATAAAGTCCCTCTTGTAATATACTTGATTAGATTTCCACTCAGGGATGGCAGGTGGCATTGGTTAAGGGCACTGGATTCCCACAAGGTCAACTGTGGTTCGAGTCCCAGATCTGGCAGCTTGCATTCTACCTTTCCCTTTCTCTCTCTCTCTCTCTGGTCAAATTGAAAAAATAATAATAGCAAATGGAATTAAATAAATAAACAATTTGAAAAAAATTTCCACTCATCAGCAAAGTTAAGGTAGAATAATAATGTCTTTAAGTCTTGGAGACATAATTTCTTTCTATTATTATTTTTTAATTTGCGTGCTCACCAGAGAGAGAGAGAGAGAAAGTGAGAAAGCAAGCCACCAGGTGTCTGGGACTCAAACTGTGGTTGGTCATGTGGGAGTCCAATGTCTCAACCACCAAGCCAAATGCTAGCCCCGAGACATAATTTCTAAAAAAGAGTTATTTACCATTTTGTTTAAATCAGCATTTATAAAGATATATAATTTGAAACTTTATGCTCTGGAAAGTATCTTCTAAACAGACAGGAATCACTTGGCT